ATGAACAATATGAACAAGCTGCTTGCAAACATTGCAAAAGTTATAAACAATTAACTAAAAAAAAAAAAATTGGGTTTAGTTTTTTGAAAATATCTCAAAAACTATTTGACATTTTCCAAATTTAAAAAAAGATTCAAAAAGAAGAGGAAATTCCCCCAAATTCACCCGGAACTGTGGGACCACATTTCTACACATATTTATAGATTGTAAGTTTACATCTACAATTTTTGTAGACAAGCACTGGTGATGGCACCATGCCGAAAGCGCTTTCCAATTAATAATTAAAAATTTTGCACGAAATAAAAGTATTTCCTTTTTAATCTAAACTACGTGCACATAGCCGTCAACCTTATTTTAATTAATTGTTTATAACTTCTGCAATTTTTGCAAACGGCTCTTGAATTTTTTCAAAAATCATCTAGACACGCTATTCCGAATCGAGTGACACCTTGTTCACATTTTTCGGAGGCGGAGAAAAAAGTTTGATCCAAAAAGCATTTGTTAACTAGACTATATAATACCGTACTTGACAGTACATTCATCAAACCAATTAAAACTGTATCTTCATTTTTCTTCATATTTATTTTTAATTTATGTTTCCAGCTGAAATTAACAATTAGGTATATTTATTATAAATTTACTTGGAAAATTATGAAAACTTTCTAATTTTTAACTTAATTAACGTCTTATTTATAGACGTAGTAAAATGTGGTTTTGAATCATTAAGATGCAAACCGTTTTTACTTTATTCATACGATATTGACTTTTATGACCTAACACATGTTTAATATTTGTATACAAGTTTTTCTTATGTAGGTATTATAAACATCAAAAGAGGATATAAAAAATTAAAATTATATCCGTTTTAATTAAATAATTGTTTTAAAATGGCTTATATTTTCGTTTATGTATAAACGAATAATAGTAAAAGTTGTTTTAACAACCGAAAAATTGTAATAATATTCTTCCGGTCTATTAGCTTCCTTGTCATGTAAATTATCTAATTACTTCTTGTTGTGTAATTTTTCCATGGGAGGTTACCTAATATACAGGGTGGCTCACGCTCAACGGGACGGAGCTTTATGGGAAAACGACCAAAGATATAAAAAATTCGTTTGGGAGGAATACGTAGGTTACAGACGGCTACAATTTAAAATTTGTTAGATGTATACAGGATGTCCCACATAAGAAAAAAAAAATTAGTTCATTAAAAATTATTCAAACAAGAGTAAACAATTAATTTCTGGGAGACTTTTTTTCCTTAAAAATTCAAATAAATCGAAAACTAATAATAATAGTAATAGGGAACCTTTAGTTAACTGACATTATTTTTGATGTAGTTTTTAATTCTAAAATAAAAAACAGGGTGTTCCATTAAAAATAATATAACTTTGTATATTTTCTCTTATGTGGGACATCCTGTATACATCTAACAAATTTTAAATTGTAGCCGTCTGTAACCTACGTATTCCTCCCAAACGAATTTTTTATATCTTTGGTCGTTTTCCCATAAAGCTCCGTCCCGTTGAGCGTGAGCCACCCTGTATACCAAATTTAAGATTTTAGTAAACCTTTTCGAATGGTATGTCTTGAAACCAACTGGGAAATATTTTATTAGGTTTACGAAAAGAGTGACTATAAAAATGTCTGCGAGACTTAGATAATAAGACAAAAATACAGGGTGTCTCGAAATTAGACGGTCATATTTTAACAGCGTAATCTACATCCTAAAATAGGAGTAAAATTCATATAAACATAGGTCTGAAAACGTTTCGTTTTCGAGATACATGGTGTTACAAGTGAAGTCCTGATCTCACATTTTTATAAATATTTTCTAAAATTTCTTTTCCACAGGCCTATTAATTATTGTTTACACTTTCGAATGAGAACATCAACTTATCATGAAATTTTCAAATGCTTTTCTCTTGAAAATGGTGCGTCCTAGCTAGATGCAACACACGTAGCTTTATTATAAAGAAACCATTGGACTTCCAAATTTTATAGTCAAAAGTGTTAAAAACTGTCAACAAAAAAAATTTGGGGCAATTTTGCCCTAAGCCCCCCCTAATTTACCCTATGAATTCGATCAAAAACTGGAGTTTAGTCCATTAAATAGAGCGTAGAAAGGTAAGCATTTGTACTAAATTTCACTTAGTTACCTATAAACGTTTAGAAAATATTTACAAAAGTGTGTCATCAGGAATTCATTTTTAACACCCTGTCTCTCGGAAAAGAAACTTTAAGTTATTTAAAATTAAAAATGACGTTTACATGTGCAATAATATCTTCCCTCTTCAGTCGCATTGAAAATGTATAATTGTACATTGACATTAAATCTAGGATGAATTCACAATAAGAAAAATTAAACCTGGTTTTTTGAAGTCGGTGGGTAGCTTTTAATTCTTATTGCCTTTTCTTTTTATAGCAATTTTTGATAATGTCAAAAATGGAGGCATTTTATTCTTTCATACCCCTATGTGTAACGCTTGAAGAGTGAGTTATCCCACGAAATTTAGGTCCCTTTAGGCCTATTGTCCTAAATTGATAGGCTCCTCTTAGCTGGTCAGCTAGCCCACAGTTTGAACGTAGTTACCAACGTCGCCGAGAGGTGCTTCTCTTATATCGGTTAGTGTTAGCCGATACTCGCCGAATATAAATCTTCTAATAAATGAGAGCGTCGTAAAATCGTAGAGGTTACGTTCGATGGTCTCATCTTTTTGTTCGCACCCCCTACAGAGTGCGGATTCTGGCTGCCCTATGATATGGAGATGCTTCCGTACTTGCCAATGACTAGTTAAAATGCCTGTGGCAAAGCACAGATTCTGTCTAGTCATAGTCAAGTATTTTTTTGCTGTAGTGTTGTCGGGATAACTTAAAAACTGCCTGGCACTTCTGCAGCTTCTTGTTTCATCCCATATTTCCTTGAATTTCACAAGGGAATGTATGTTCTTTAATAAGTCAATCCAATGAAAGGGTCAGGTCCAAAAAGTATTTGGTTGACTGCCTTCTTAGCTAGTGAATCAACAAGACGGTTACCTTTCAATGAGGCGTAATCCATCTTAAGGTGACCACATTGTTGATGGGTACTCCGGCCAATGCTTCGTGACTTTATAGTACTAACCCTGAGTAAATACGTGGTCTGTCCAGGGTGAATATTAATTGTCAGAAGACAATTAATATTCATCTGTATAGATGAGTATGTTCCTTTCAGTAATATTGTTTTTGGTAACTTATTTTACTGCTATGAGAATCCCCGTGAGCTCCGTTTAAATTACACTGGCACTATTACTTAGGTTTAGGTTTAAGAATCTGGAGTGTATTCCACATCCTGCGCCTTGTTTTATTTTAGAACCGTAGATGTAAATATGTACCTGCCACTTTCTTCTCTTCTATTTGTTTCGTTTAACTTTATATGGTTTATGGAAGATATATCTCGGTGAGATGGAGCCTATGTTCGTCTGAAGCAGTGAAAGCGTATCGAGTGTCTCCCGCCAAAAGCGACGTCTCGCCTCACCATATCCTACACAGATTCTATTTTATTCTATATCAACCTTGTTGATGTAGGTACCAAGGGAATTGAGACTTCCATGGCTCTGGTTGGTATAGTTTTTATGACTTCTGTTATATTGAGACAATTAAGTTTGTTCTAGTTTGCGGATAGCTGTCAATTGATCCATTTTCGTCCTTTTCCTTGCGAAAAAGACCATTTATTTCTTCTTGGGATTAATAGACAGTGAATGGTACCTTGCACCATTGTTTTATAATTTTGAGAGCCACTTGCATTCTTTCGCAAAATTCCCTCTTTACAGAATGACTAGGTCATCTGCATGCACTTTTGTGTATCGAGACGGTTCATGAGGATGTAAAGGACCCCTCCCTCGCAACCAATCGTCTTATGTTCACATCTTCCAAACTTATGTTTACTTCTTGCTTTGAGAGCATGTTATATCCACCCACTAACAATCTGTGCAACATTCTTGCTGGTTAGTGAGTGTATATTTTTGGGGAAGTTGGTTTTGTCAAAAGCACCTTCTATGTCTATGAAAACAGTCAAGGTGGACTCTCTTTATTGTCCGGCGGACTCTCTTTATTGTCCTGAGATCTATATCCAGCCAGCAACTAGGTAAAGGGTTGAATCGGTAGATCTGACTGGGGAAGTATGCATGTTGATTTGGGTGTAGTGGTGTTGTATGTACCTACTTTTCGCATATCCTTTCCAATGTTTTGATGGAAAACGATCTTAGGCTAATTGGCCCGTATGTTTTTTTGACCGTGTTATCCATCCTTTCAGGTTTGGGTATAAAGACCACTTTTAACTCTCTCCATTTTTCGAGGATGTACCTCAGAGCCAACGAGGATCTTAATATGCCTACCAGCTGCGGTGTAAGTTTTTACATATCCCATATATGACAAATCAATTTTGATGTCTGACTATTTCATAATGAAGGTCTTTTTAAATAGAGTTACTTTCTTCGTAAACCAAATAATAAAAATGTTTTCCATATGAAGGGTCCACTGCAAAAACCATCAAGGTTCATTTTTAGTGCCATCTGTTGGTGTTTTAGGAAGTAGTATCATGTGAGAAGACGAAACATTAAAAAACCATGACGGTTCCTTTGAAATCGCATACAAAAAATCGGTCATACAATGCAATAAACATCAAGAGTCCAACCTTTATTTCTTTGCTATCTTGAAGAATTGGGTTTTATGGACCTTGATGGTTTTTGCTGTAGACGCTAACTTAAGTATACATACTGTTATAAAGTTTTGTTGTAACAACAAAGTTTTGATATTACAAATGTTTGATGTTACAGTTTTGATGATACAAAGTTTTGATGTTACAAAGTTTTACTGTTACAAAGTTTTACTGTTACAAACTTTATCCCCTCTTTCTTTGTTGTCGAAGAGGTTTAAATTCATTAATCAAACACTTGAATTGGAAATATACTCATTTCAAATTCTTCCAGTTTAATATTTTCATCGTTATCTTTTTGTTTCAGAGATTTTTCGAAACTAAACAAAGACGACGTTTATCACAACAACGAACTGGCCTTCAGGGTTGCAGAGCAATATTTGGGTATCCCCGCGCTTCTAGAACCAGAAGACATGGTAGAATATACTGTACCAGATCGTCTCTCTATTCTTACATACTTGTCACAATTCTACCAGGCGTTTGCCGTCAGAGAAGGTAAGCTTTTCATTATTTTTGTAGTATACATAGAGAAAAAGTTACGTCATGAAATACTTTTTTGGTCTACTTGATATTATTTATTATTATTTTGTAGTATACTGTTAGATTGTCGATCAATGTCAGGCAGTGACTGCTGCGGTGATGTCGTTCCTTCTGGAACGCGTACCGCTTTTAAGCGCACATGCGTGAGCGACCGAATGATTATAACAATACATAGAGAAAAAGAGTTACATCATAATGTTTGGAAATTATTTTATGGGTTACTTGATAAAATTTATTGTTAAAACTATTAGAATGCAATGCACATTGCACAGTTTTTTATATATTGAAATTAAATGATTTAAATACGTTTTACGATTGAGCTGAGAATATTTATTTATCAGAAAAGTGAATTGTATTAAACCAAAAGTCCTTTGGCTACTTATTATTACTTTAAAAAAAAATCTTTAGTTTCACGAACATAAATCCGACTAATTAAATTCATTCAGCTCCAAACTGACTTTGATTAATCGCAAATAATATTTCAGGAGGGTCCTTGTACTTGTGCTAAAACATACAAGACCTCTTATAAACACTGACACAAATTCCGAAAATGATTTATATCGAAATCGTGAACAGCCTCGGCCTTACAGCAATTAATGAAATTTAAAGATACAAGACAGATAAGAATCAAGTTGTTGCCGCCCCTTGGGACAATTTTAATTAACCCTTTGACCGCTTGTGTGCAGATCACGATTTTCAGTTGTTTAATTCTGAGGCCCACATATGTGAGTGTGTGTTTGTGTAAAAGATTACGTGACTTTAAGTAGAAAAGCGGTTTTCAAGAAGGATATAAATGGATGTGTTAATTATTATTAATGCATAAATGCTTAAATTATCAACAGAATCATGCATATGTGTGCGGATGGTTTTTTTTATTGCGGGTATGGCACACTTTGGGCGACTTGTTTGTGACCTATCATAGAGAGTCATCACTGTGTATGGGTTAAAAAATAGTTTTTAACAATTAAAACCTTATAACGTAATTTATCTTGATTTTGGAAAATAGATTTTTACGAAATACATTGGAAGATTTTTCGTCTAGAATTTGATGCCTCTCTTAGATTTTTAAGAAATTAATATTTGTGAATGAAAACAACTTTAATTTTTTACTAAACATTTATGATAAATAAATGTATTTGTACATCTTATTTTCGAATATAAATAAATTATGTATCACTAAAGGTTAGTAGAGGTAGGTCTGTGAACTTGGCACCACAACATTGCAAAAAAGGGTCAAAAATGTGTGAGAGGTTTGACCATCGTTTGCCCATTACTGCCCTTTTTTTGCCCACCCTCTGTTTTCACAATATATCGAAAATAATTTTCGCGGGCCAACTTCCAGACAAAAGTTAAAATTTGAGAAAATAAAAAAAAACAAAAGAAATATTCACAAAAATGCAATATGATAACTGCATTAGATAATCATTCGTTAGCCCATGTTTGCCCATTTTTTGTTTCACAAATTTCTATAACGATATTCAAAAAAAATTTAATTAAAAAATGGATTTGATGACAATTCAACTATCCGAGATTTATACGAGTTTATTTGTTATAAAAAAAAATGGACAAACCACGAAATAACGCCAAAATATTTGTGAGTTACTAAAAATGTTTTCTGAGAATTGCCCATTTTTTTTTAAATCCTCGTCCAATAGGGGGGCCTAAACTCCGATAATAGTGCATTTATACAGTATGTTCGCTATACTTACGCGGGTTTCGGATTAACAAAATTATGCAAATTAGTCATTGACAACCAGTTCCAATAAGCCTCTTCCCAAGAAATTAGGTAAAATTGCCCTAATGGTCAAATTTAAATTAAAATAACATTAGGGTAGGTACTAAATTTGTTACAAATATTGCAGTTGAATTGATTCTTTGCAAGTGTTGACATTGTATGTATATTGTAAATTTAGTGGAAATTTTAAAAATGTCTAGACGTATGTTAGATGTAGATAGTCTAATTTGTAGTGTACATAAGTATTTTACGGATGAAAAAGAAATGGCGGTCTTTTAAAATCGGTAATGTCTGTACAACAACGCGTATGCGTTACTCTAGGAAACCAAATTAAGAGGAGTATTACAAAATCACAATAGTGAACTGCCGAAAGAAGATATACAATTCTCTCGGAATTAATAGATAGAAAATTTGACGACATTGGCAGAACAAGTCTATGGCAAGTGATACATAACTTGGGTTTCAAATTTCAAAAGGAAGATAACAGAAAGGCCCTTTGTAAAAGAAGTTCTGTCGTGCAAAAGAGAATTAACTTTCTAAGAAAATATTCTAAATGTAAAGAAGAAGGGGCGAATTTTATATATTTAGACGAAACATGGATATTTTCTAGGGGTGCAACCAAGAGAATATGGCAAGATGATAACGTAAAGTCCATCAAACATACCGATGGAGAAGGGAAGCGACACATAATTTTACATGAAGGAGGGAAATCGGGTTTTATAGAAGGTGCTGATTTAATAGTTTCATAGAAGGTGCTGATTTAATAGTTTCATCTAAATCAAAATCCAGTGACTATCACGATAATATGAACACAGAAATGTTTGTAAAATGGTTGCATGAAAAACTTCTCCCAGGTTTAAGTGAGCCCAGCGTAATTATTTTAGACAATGCACCTTACCATTCTGAAGTATTAAACAAAAGTCCAACGAATTCTTGGACTGTTGATAAAATTAAAAAATGGTTGACAAAGGAACATATACCATTTCCTTAATATATATTAAAATCAGAATTATTACGCTTGGCAAATATACACGCAAAACCAAAAACCTTTGTTGTGGATCAGATTATTGAAAGTTACGGTCATCAAGTTTTACGTCTGCCAGTTTAATCCCATCGAATATATATGGGGAATAGTAAAACAATATTATGACAACCATATTGGGCCTAATGGTTATAGTGATGACGCAGTTCGGGAAATTTGGCGGAAAGCACTTTCAATTGCAACTCCAGAAGTGTGGCGGAACTGTATATCCAAGTGCGAGAAACTAATAGAAGATTGGTGGACTCGTGAAAATAAAATAAACGAAATAAGTCCAATCATAATAACAATTAATGGTGATGACAGTGATGATGATGGCGATTATGATATTTTGGATGATAATGACTGATTTTCATTTTTGTTGGCAATACTGGAAATACTCATAAAAATTTTAATCCGAAACCCGCGTAAGTATAAATAGCGAACAGACTGTATGTATTTATTAGTGATATAAAAATGGGCAAACATCAAAATAATTCCAAAAAAAGTGTAAGTTGCTAAGAAATGTTTTCTGAGGATTGCCCATTTTTTAAAAAATCCTCGTTTAATAGAGGGGCTTAATTTCCGATAGTGGTGCATTTCTGTGTTTTCAGGATTACTTTTTATTTTTAGTGCAAGAAAAACATGTTAGTACAAGTAAAGGCAAAATCTGTGCCCCTCTGGAGACACTTTCTCAAAATTTATATCAATTAGTCCACAGTACATCTACCCCTGCTTAGCACATATTTATGTCTATCTATCACACTTTTCATCTTAGTTTTCTACTGCGAGACGCCTGAACATGTCGATCTTACGATGTTATGTATTAAACTGACTTCTTTTACAACGCAATTGAAAAATAACTTAATAATAAACACGGATTAAGGCTTGACCGACAGTATTAATCCGGCGATCGATGAATGAACTGGCTGCAAGATGTCAAAATAACAATAATTATTTTTCGCAGGATTATTTAATAAATACACTCTCAGTGACCGCCAAATTAAAAGCAACGTTTTTTCACTCTGGCGACCTCCATAGGTCATTTTTACTTTATGAGGAACCTATATTTTATAATTTTTGTCATTTACAAGATTTCTCTAAAATGGAGGACCACAATGGAGAAATGGAAAAATTTAAATTTTTTTCATTATTTTCACTACCGGTGAAGATGTGAAAAAAAATTTCAAATAAAATGTGTGTGGAAAATGTTTATCTTTATTTTATATTCTAAACACTTGCATAGATATATAGGAAAATTATTTATTTATTTTATTTATTTATTTATTTATTTATTTATTTATTTATTTATTTATTTATTTATTTATTTATTTATTTATTTATTTATTTATTTATTTATTTATTTATTTATTTATTTATTTATTTATTTATTTATTTATTTATTTATTTATTTATTTATTTATTTATTTATTTATTTATGTATTTATTTCTTTGTTTGTTTGTTTGTTTGTTTGTTTGTTTGTTTGTTTGTTTGTTTGTTCGTTCGTTCGTTCGTTCGTTCGTTTATTTATTTATTTATTTATTTATTTATTTATTTATTTATTTATTTATTTATTTATTTATTTATTTATTTATTTATTTATTTATTTATTTATTTATTTATTTATTTATTTATTTATTTATTTATTTATTTATTTATTTATTTATTTATTTATTTATTTATTTATTTATTTATTTATTTATTTATTTATTACACCACCCAACAGTAATCACCATTTACTGGGTGGGAAAGACAAAACATTAGAATATAAATACAAATATAAAATTGTTAAAAAGCTATACAATACAATGTAAACATCCAGAAAAAAAACTGACCGAACACAGTATAAAAAAAAGGTTGTCTACATTGCATTACATCATTTTTTTTACATTGTTGAAGAAAAAACATTTTTAATCATATATTTTTTACATTCAAAAATGTCCAAGCTGTCTTGAATTTTATGATATTTCTGAATAGATTGGTACATTGGAGATGAGTTCAAAACATTAGTTCTAGCAGCAGGCATGTAAAAACTCAAGTAAACTCTTAATCCAGCACGGGGGATTTTTAGATTGACGTAATTTAACAAATCAATACTGTCGACTGAGCCATTTAAAAGATTATAAAGTAGGAGTACCTGTTGGAAATTTCTGCGTATCACGAGCTCTGAAAGATTGAATCTAGATATTAGTAAAGCGTGG